AATCTTATGCTCACTAAAATAGTTAGATCATTAGATTTTTTTCCTAGAGAGTTGTTTGGGCTCCTTACATATTCTGGTTATTAATCCCTTTTCAGATGGGTACTTTGCGAATATTTTCTACCACTCTGTGGGCTGTCTCTTCACTTTGTTAATTGTTTCCTTTGCTATGAAGAAGCTTTTTAAGTTGATGCAATCCCATTTGTCCATTTTTGCTTTGGTTGCCTGTGCTTGTCGGGTATGGCCCAAGTAATTTTTGCTCCGACCAATGTCCCGATGTTCTCTTGTAGTATAGTACTTTCATTGAGGTCTTACATTTAAGTCTTTAATCCATGTTGATTTGATATTTATATATGGTGAGAGGTAGGGGTCTAGGTGCATTATTCTGTATGTGTATATCCAGTTTTCCCAGAACCATTTGTTGAAGAGAAGTCTTTTGCTCAATGTATGTTCTTGGCACATTTATGAAAAATGAGTTCACTGTAAGTGTGTGATTTGTTTCTGGGTTCTCTATTCTGTTCCAGTGGTCTATATGTCTGTTTTTATGCCAGTGCCATGGTGTTTTGGTTATATAGTTCTGTAGTATAATTTGAAGTCAGGTAATGTGATTCCTCCAGCTCTGTTCTTTTTGCTTAGAATAGCTTTGGCTATTCTGGGTCTTTTGTGGCTCCTCATAAATTTTAGGATTGTTTCTTCTATTTCTGTGAAGAATGTCATTCATATTTTGACACGGAGTGCAATGAATCTGTAAATTGCTTTGGATAGTATGGACATTTAAACAATATTGATTCTTCCAATCCACGAACATGGAATCTCTTTCCATTTCTTGGTGTCCTCTTCAATTTCTTTCTTCAGTGTTTTATCATTTTCATTATAAAGGTCTTACACTTCTTTGGTTAGGTTAATTTCTAGGTATTTAATTTTATTTGTGGCTATTGTATATAGGACCACTTTTTAAATGTCCTTTCCAAATGGTTCACTGTTGACATATAGAAATGCTACTGATTTTTGTATATTGATTTTGTATCCTGCAACTTTGCTGAATTTATCAATTCTAAGTTTTTTGTGGAGTCTTTAGTATTTTCCAAATAAAATGTATCATCTGCAAACACAAGGATAATTTTATTTCTTCTATCCCAATTTGGATTTCTTTTTATATTCCCTTTATTTCTTTCTCTTCTATGATGGCTCTAGCTAGGACTTCCAGTACTATGTTGAATAACAGTGGTAAAAGTGAGCGTCCTTGTTGTGTTCTAGATTGCAGAGGAAAGCTTTTCAGTTTTTTCCCCATTCAGTATGGTATTGACTGTGGGTCTGTCATATATGGTTTTTATTATGTTGAGGTGTGTTACTTCTATACCCAGTTTTTTTAGGGTGTTTACCATGAAGGGATGTTGGATTTTATCAAATGCTTTTTAGCATCAACTGAAATGATCTTATGGTTTTTATCCTTTACTGCGTTGATATAATGTATCGCATTGATTGATTTGCAAATATTGAACCTTTCTTGCATCCCAGAGGTACATCCCACTTGTCATGATGAATGATCTTTCCCATATATTGTTGAATTCAGTTTTCTAGTATCTTGTTGAGGATTTTTGCATCAATATTTATCAGATATATTGGCATTTTGTTTTTTTGTTTTTTGTTTGTTTGTTTGTTTTTGTTTTTTTTGAGACTGAGTCTCACTCTGTCACCCAGGCTGGAATGCAGTGGCATGATCTCAGCTCACTGCAACCTCTGTCTCCCAGGTTCAAGTGATTCTCCTGCCTTGGCCTCATGAGTAGCTAAAATTACAGGCGCCCGGTCACCACACCCAACTAATTTTCGTATTTTTAGTAGAGATGGGGTTTCACCATACTGGCCAGGCTGGTCTTGAACTCCTGACCTCCAGTATACCACCCACCTCTGCCTCCCAAGTGCTGGGATTACAGGAGTGAGCCACCACTTCCAGCCTATGTGTGTCTTTACGGGAGAAGAGTGTTTCTTGTAGGCAACAGATCAATGGGTCTTTTTATTTTTTTATTTATTTTTATTTTTTTTGAGATGAAGTCTTGCTCTGTCACCAGGCTGGAGTGCAGTGGTGCCATCTCGGCTCATTGCAACCTCTGCCTCCCGGATTCAAGCTATTCTCCTGCCTCAGCCTCCTTAGTAGCTGGGACTACAGGTGCATACCATCATGCCCAGTTAATTTTTGTATTTTTAGTAGAGACAGGGTTTCACCATGTTTGCCAGGATGGTCTCTATCTCTTGACCTCGTGATCCACCTGCCTTGGCCTCCCAAGTGCTGGGATTACAGGCGTGAGCCACCACACCTGGCTGGGTCTTGTTTTTTCATCCATTCATCCACTCTGTCTTTTGATTGAAAAGTTTAGTCTGCTGACACTTAACATTATTATTGATAAGTAAGGACTTACTCTTGCCATTTTGTTATTTTTTTTTCTGGTTGTTTTGGGGTCTTCTCTTCCTTCTTTCCTTCCTGTCTTCCATTAGTGAAGGTAATTTTCTCTGGTGATGTGATTTAGTTACTTGCTTTTTATTTTTCATGTATCCATTGTTATGTCTTTTGGTTTGAGGTTACCATGAGGCTTGTAAATACTATCTTATAATCCATTATTTTAATCTTATAATAACACTGTTTTCATAAACTAGTAAAAAGAAAACTAATAAAAACTCTATAACTTAACTTTGTGTCCCTATTTTTTAACTTTTTGTTATTTCTATCTTATTACGCCATTTATGTCTTGAAAAGTTGTAGTTAATATTTTTGATTGGCTCATAGTTTAGTCTACTTAGAATAAGAGTAGTTTATACATCATAGTTACAGTGTTATAACATTCTGCATTTTTCTGTGTACCTACTATTACCAGTGCATTTTATACCTTCAGGTTGTTACTTATTGCTCATTAATGTCCTTGTCTTTCTGATTGAAGTATTCCCTTTAGCATTTCTTCTAGGACCGGTCTGGTGTTGACGAAATCCCTCAGCTTTTGTTTGTGTGGAAAAGTCTTTTTTTCTCCTTCACTTTGAAGGATATTTTCACTGGATACACTGTTTCAAGGTAAATGTTTTTTTCCTTCAGCACTTTCAATATGTCATACCTCTCTCTCCTGGCCTGAAACGTTTCTACTAAAGAGTCTGCTGTCAGATATATTGGAGCTCCATTGTATATATTGGTTTCTTTTCTCTTGCTGCTTTTAAGATCCTTTCTTTATCCTTGATCTTTGAGACTGTGATTATTAAATTCCTTGAGGTAGTCTTCTTTGAGTTATATCTGCTTGGTGTTTTATAACTTTCTTGTACTTGGATATTGGTATCTTTCTGTGGGTTTGGGAAGTTCTGTTACTATCCCTTTGAATACACTTTCTACACCTCCCATCTCCTCTTTAAGGCCAATACCACTTAGATTTGTCCTTTTGAGGCTATTTTCTAGATCCTGTAGGCATGCGTCATTGTTTTTTATTCTTTCCTTTGTCTCCTCTATGTATTTTGAAATAGCCTGTCTTCAAGCTCATTAATTCTTTCTTCTGCTTGATCAATTCTGCTATTAGAAGACTCTAATGCATTCTTTGGTGTGCCAATTACATTTTTTGGCTCCAGAATTTCTGCTTGATTCTTTTAAATTATTTCAATGTCTTTGTTAAACTTATCTAAATAGAATTATGAATTCCTTCTCTGTGTTATCTTGAATTTCTTTGAGTTTCCTCAACACAGCTATTTTGATTTCTTTGTCTAAAAGGTCACATATCTCTGTTTCTACAGGATTGGCCCCTGGTGTCTTAATTAGTTCATTTGGTGGGGTCATGTTTTCCTGGAAAGTGTTGATGCTAGCAGATGTTCTTTGGTGTCCGGGCATTGAAGAGTTAGGTATTTATTGTAGTTTTCACTGTCAGGGCTTGTTTATACCCATCTTTCTTGGGAAGGCTTTCCAGATATTTGAAAGAACTTGGATATTGTGATCTAAGCTGTCTCTGCTTTAGGGGGCACCCCAAGCCTCCTAAACTCTGTGGTTCTTGCAGACTCATAGTGGTACTGCTTAATGGTCTAGGACAAGATCCAGGATAATTCTCTGCGTTACCAAAAAGAGACTCTTGTTCTCTTCCCTTACTTTCTCCCAAACAAACAGAGTCTCTCTCCCTCTCTGTCCTGAGGCACCTAAAGCTTGGGGATGAGTGACACAAGCACCCCTGTGGCCACCACTACTGTGACTACACTGGGTCAGACCTAAGGCCAGCACAGCACTGGGTCTTGCCCAAGACCTGCTGTAGCCTCTCCTTAGCTATTGCATAAGTTTGCTGAAGGCCATGGGGCTCTACAGTCATCACATGGTAAAAACAGCCAGGCCTGTGTCTGTCTCTTCAGGATGGCAAGTTCTCTCAGCCTGTGGGTGGATCCAAAGGCGCTGTCTGGGAATCAGGGTCTAGATCAAAAACTTTAAAAGTCTACCTAGTATTTTATTGTGCTATCACTGAGCTATCACTGAAACCACAAGATGCAGTCCCTCCCACTCTTTCTACCCCTCTCCAAAGGCAGAGGAGCATCAATCCACGACCACCTCAAACACAGGCCATGGGGGTACTGCCAGACTACTGCCAATGTTCTCATAAGGCCCAAAGGCTCTTAAGTCAGTTTGTGGTGAATGCTCCTGTGAAATATTTTTAAATGCTTCTGTTTTTTGTTTTGTTTTGTTTTGTTTTGTCTTTGAGATGGGGTCTCGCCCTGTCACCCAGGCTAGAGTGCAATGGCGTGATCTCGGCTCAATGCAACTTCTGCCTCTCAGGTTCAAATGATTTTCCTGCCTCAGCCTCCCAAGCAGCTGGGATTACAGGCACCCATCACCATGCCCAGCTAATTTTTCTATTTTTAGTAGAGACATGGTTTCACCATGTTGGCCAGGATTGTCTCTAACTCCTGACCTTGGGGTCCTCCCACCTCAGCCTCCCACAGTGCTTCTTATAAAAGTACAAAATAGCTTAATGCATTATAAAAATAATCAAACTTACCCTTCAACAAATACTCGAAGAAGAACATCCATGAGAAAAAATAAGGCAATAGCTAGAGAAATAGAACGATACACCAAAGGAATATAAAGTTTGCTATCATTGAAAATTAGGTCGGCAAGGAGAAGAGTGACATCCAGTAAGACCAGGAAAACTCCAAATATTCTAAAATAAATAAATAAATAAATAAATAAATAAATAAATAAATGCAAAGATAAAGGGGCTTTTGTCCCTATAGCTATACTATATTTAGGCCACTGATCAGGTACCAAAATGTTATTATTTAGTATTAAGCTGCCCAGTGGCAGGAAAAACTGTAATGCCTTAGAATCTCAGAAAGTCACTGTTTTCACCCAATAGAAGCAGTTCTTAATAAACAAAATTTTCACCAAACCACTTCACGAGATATTATCATGCCCTTTTATAGTAGACACATCAGACCAACATTTCAAGAGAAAAGTAAAACTGAATTAAAATCACCTGTGTCTGTTTGTAAATTCTTCTTAAAATTTGAGAATGTCATTAAGAAATTTATACCAATTTCTCATAAAAAAATAAACCCTCAATCTGGATAATTCTAAAGAATTTATTAATAAAAACCAAATGAAAGCATGAGTAACATATGCTCATAAAAGACCAAGATTTTTCATCAGTGACATTCTCAACAAGTACATGATTCCATATTTATGGGTGCTTCTAGCATAGTGATGGGTACATGAGTCTTGAACTCTAAAGTACCTCCTGCCACTTGCTGTTACATTTTCTAAATACATTCTCCATAAACTGATAAGGCTATTTGCCTAATCTATGAAGATGAATTAGTCTTCCAAGTAGTTTTTTAAAACTTGCAGCTCAAATTAAAATAGTATTAATTCAAAAGGAAACAATTACATTGCATAAATCTGTATCATAGTATGAAATCTTACTCTTATGTAGAGGAGAATCTAAGTAAATTGTTTCCAGAATTAAAGAGTAATTCTAGATGTATAAATACTTTACTAATAATTATAGAGTTTTAACATTTGATTTTCATTAATGTTACTTTTACAGATGGAAGAAAAACAATATTAATAAGTTACTATTAATCTTAGGCAAAAGCCATTTATTTGCAAGTCTTAATGTCCAGCTTAAACCAAAATTCCATGATAAATTAGATTACATTAGATGGGGGCACATGGCTACTTAGCAACTGATGGACGGTGGAAATGCTTTTTTGGTTTATTTCAGTCTTTCTCATTGAAGTATTAAGTCTCATATATATATATATA